GACACATTATACCATTTATGTTTCTTCCACTACTATGGTTTCAGCTTTATTACCATTTTCTTTATACTTGCCACTACGCCTAGCTTTTTAACTGCTTCTGCTAATTTAGATTATTTTTCAGTTATGAAATATACTATACATATGTATGACGGAGGAGATGAGAAAAGATAGACAATATACTCTTTTGGTTTAAAGCTTCTAGTATGTAGTTTTCTTCTCCTGTTTTTATCTTCCAGGTTACTGCTACCACGTCAAAACTGATCATCATTTTGATTCAGGAGGATAGTATGTTGTTACTTGTAATTTTTTTTTGGTTTGATTTCAATAATGATGGTTGATTCGAAAATTTTTAGTTGTTCTTTACCTGTGCAGATCCTCTTTTAATTTTCTTTGGGCTAGGCAATTGTTTCTTGCAGTGTTATCCGAAGGACTTTCTCCTATAGGTCAAGGGGCTTTCAAGAATAGTGTCCTTCTCAATTCCTTAAATTACTTGTTTTAATTTGTCAAACATTTCATCTTGTAATTAGTTGGTTGGATTTTGAGCTCATTATGGTCCGATTCCTATGCTCTTTTCATATGTATTTTTCCATTCATTAACAATCTTGTGCATGGATACTTCATAGTAAAGACACCTTTTTGAATTTTAAAACTCATCGTGGGGTGCCGAGTATTAGGGGGATATGACAAATGCACTTCTTTGTCCTTAGGACCTGCTATTAGCCATCCCATGGATACAAGGATGAAGAATAAAACTGGGTTTTCCTTATCAAAGAATATTATTTCATGGAGGAAATGAGAAATGTATTATCTGTTAACATTCATTTTTTTAATATTTATTTATTATATATTTCACGTATCTAAAGATGGCATTGTTGCAGTTAAAGTAAAATTGATATTAGATGCAATCAAATTAATTTGTGATGGGAAATACTTGAGTTCGCAAGTAACCCTAATGAGAAATACTTGAGTTAGCAAGCAAACCTAACAATAATTAGTAAAACAGCAGGAAAACGAAAGGTATGGTGGAAAAAACAATCAAACGATAGATAATCTAATATAAAACAAGGAGAAACAAGAACAAAGCAAAGATACAATCGATCCTCAATTCGAGAGGAGGATCGTTCTCTCCCAATCTTTAGATTATGAATCTATAGTCCAAAACCCTAAGAGAACTCCAAGAGAATAACTCCAATGCATGCATTCCCTAACCCTAGCCTCCTCTCCTGTTTTAATACAAATATTCTTAATAAAAGCTTATAAAATATTTCCTAAAATAATTATTAATTCAAATAATTTCTTATTGCCTCTTCCTTCTCTCTTCTTTACGCCCTAGGGGGGCCCACATGAGTGGGCGGCCATCAAAGGAGGCGGTTTAGCCAACCTCCTATAGGTGTGAACCGGCCCCACCTGGGCTGATTTTGACGGTTTTGCTAGAACCGTAACAATACCCCCTTCCCAAAGAACCACCTTGTTCTCAAGGTGAAAATTAGGAAACTGATATTTCAGCATCTCGTATGGCCCCCACGTGACATCATAGTCAGGTAAATTCTTCCACTTAATCAGCACTTCACGAGTTCCATCTTCTTTCTAGCGAACCCCATCAACTCTAAGGGTTCCATAATTACTTCTAAATCCTCAATCAATGTCGCCGGTAGCTCTGAGTTGGTTACATAATCCCCAATGACCATTCTCAACTGAGATATAAGGAAATTCATATGTATAGTAGCCATTGGTGGTAGTTTCAACCATAGGCAACTGCCCCAATCTTCTCCACCACTTTATAAGGTCTAAAATACCTTGGAGCAAACTTCTCATTCCTCCTGTGAGCGACTATTTTTTGTCTGTGTGGTCGGAGCTTCAAGAACACTCTCTCGCCTACTTCGAACTGGATGTCCTTCCTATGCCCATCAACTTGTTTCTTCATAGTCTATTGAGCTCTTAGTAAATTCCTCTTCATCTCTTCTAACACTTTGTCCCTCTCCTTAAAGTACTTCTCAACTGAAGAAACTACAGTACTGCTACTCCCAAAGTGCACCAAGTGAGGAGGGTCTCTTCCGTACAACATCTTGAACGGGGTTATCTGAGAAGCAGAATGATAAGAGGTGTTGTACCAGTACTCGGCCCAAGATAGCCACGGCCCAAAGTCTGGGTGTCTCTAACACGAAGCATCTCAAATAGGTCTCCAAGCTCCTGTTGGCTACTTTTGTTTTGCCATATGTCTGTGGGTGGTAGGCGATGCTCCTCTTCAGTAGTTGTTGAAACTTGTTAATTTTAAATTAGGTTGTTAAACCTAAGCTTATGTCCCAATGACTAACCAAGAAGAGGGTGAATTGGTAATTTTAAAAATTTTCCTCTTTATACCAAATTAAAATTTAATGAATTTAAAATTGATTTTTCAACCACAGATAAACATAAAAACAGTAAAGTAAAAAGGCAATGGAAAATAAAACACAAGATTTATAGTGGTTCGGTCAAACACGACCTACATCCACTCCTTGAAGTCTCCCACTTCAGGTATTGCACTATTACCACTAGTGTCTCTCCTTTTGCTCCCACAGCAAGGCGGAGAAGCTTTAATAAAAACTCTCTTCCACCACTATCCAATGCGGCAGAGAACCGTCGTCCTTTTACACTCTCCAAGTGTAGGCAGAGAACCTCCCACTGTTCACACTCTCCACGTGTCGGCAGAGAACCGTCCCGCTGTTCATACTTTCCAAGTGTAGGCAGAGAACCTTCCGCTGTTCACACTCTCCACGAGCGTCGGCAGAGAAACGGATCTTCTTGAAGAAAACTTCTCACAGAAATTAGAAGGACAAGAGAAAAGAGTGAATTAATCACAAATAACAAAATGAAATCCTTACGTTTGAGTAACTTAAGTGAACCCTTCACACTCCAGTAGTAAGAAATCTCCTTCAAACACACTCTCTCACTCTCCCCTTCAATTTCCCTTAAGTATGCTCGAAGTTCAAAAAGACAAAATAGTTTTTTTGGCAGTATTAAATGGACCTTTTATAGAAAAAAATGAAAAACCGTCCAAAAACTGCATTTTTCAATTTCTGACCTTCCACGATCGTCCCGTACGATCCAATTTCGTAAGTACGAACAATGTAAAAACTGTTGTGTACGAACTTATTGTGAACTAGTACAAACTACCTTCGTACCCGATCATCGTCCCGTACGAACCTAGTTCGTCCGGTACGAACAGTTAACTATAAAGTTCGTTGGTACGAAATGGTAAGACGAATTTCAAGTTTACAGGACAAAGAAGATCATCCTTGGACGAACCATAATGATCGTCTGGACGAATAGTTCATTTTGACAAATCCAGAGCCCATCATCCTGGGACGAAACATAATTTTTGTCTGGACGAACGCATCCAGAGAGCATCGTTCTGGGACGTATGTAAATATCGTTTGAACGAATACGTCCAGAGAGCATCGTCCGGGGACGTACGTAAATATCGTCTAGAGGAAGGAATCCAGAGAGCATCATCCTGGGACGTACATAAATATCATGCAAACGAATTTGTCTAGAGAGCATCGTTCTGGGATAGAAGTAAATATCGTCTGGACGAAGCATTCCAGAGAGCATCGTCCGGGGACGTATGCAAATATCATTCAAACGAATGCGTCCAGAGAGCATCGTCCTGGGATGAAGTAAATATTGTTTGGACAAATAGTACATTGAAAAAATTTTGCCCTCTCCGTTCATTTCATTGCTCTTTTAGGAGTAAAACTGACCAGATCGTCCCGTACGAACATGGTTCGTACTGTATGATCATTTTAAAAAATTATGAATTTTAAAACTCCTCTGGTGTGTGTGAGCTAAGTTACTCAATTACAATCACACTCTCTCAGACTCAATAAAAAGAAAAATATAGACTTCAATTTACAAAATAATTTAAGCTGAACTTGATTTGAAGTCTTCAACAATCTGGAGTATGATTCTCCTAAAATGTTAGTAGACACAAGAGTAAAAATAATTCTTTCAAAAATGTGTTAGGAGAATATAACAATCAAAACAATAATATTTGGTATCATAAAAAACATACAAGTTGCAAGAATGTAAAACATGCGAAGCTAAGTAGCAATTCTCTTCAATAGTAGTGTCCCCTGTAATCTGAATAACTCCTTAAAAAAATGGCAGAGGAACATCTTGTGTCGATCTGATACGATCGCCTTGGGTACTCCATGCAATATGACCACCTCCCTGATGAAGGTTAACACCACTCTCACTGCTGTGTATGGATATCAGAGAGGAATGAAGTGAACATACCTTCTCAATCTGTCTACCACCACCAGGATCACTGTGAAACCTTCTGAACGGGGCAACCCATTTATAAAGTCTAGAGATACCTCCTCATAAACTCGCCCTGGTAAAGCTAATGACTGTTGTAATCCTCCTGGTGATATGACTAAATACTTGTTTATCTGACATACCTCACATCGGGACAGCATCTCCTCGACATCCTTATGCATTTCCTTCCAGTACAATTCTGAGGCTAGTCTTTTGTAGGTCTTCTTTACCCCTGAGTGTCCCCCAATTGCACTCTTATGGAACTCCTGAAGCAAGTGTGGAATGTGAACTGATGTCCTGGGCATCACAAATCTTCCTTGGTACAATAACCTCTCTCCCTCCAAAGACTACCCCGGGTGGCTACTCCATTCCCTTCGTAAGTTGGCTCTGATCCTTTCCAACTCCTCATCCCTGGCGCTCTCCTCCTTGATGGCCTCCCAATCTAATATCATTGGGATTGATACTTCCATCGTCTGCAGCTCTCCCATGCATCTGGATAAGGTATATGCCGCCTTGTTCTCCACTCTTGGTCTGTACTGAATCTTGAAATCATACCCCAGCAACTTGGATAGCAACCTCTGATGCTCTACCACCATCTGCTATTTCAACAAGTATTTCAAGCTCCGCTGGCCGGTCATGACATTGAAATACCTCTCTAGGATGTAGGGTCGCCGATTTTAGATGGCCAAAATGATGGCCATCAACTACCTCTCATAGACTGAATTTAGCCTGGCTCTAGCAGTCAACACCTGGCTGAAGTAGGCAATGGGTCGATGATCCTGCCTAAGTACGACACCCAGTCCATACACCGAGGTGTCTGTCTCCACTATGAAGGTTTGAGTAAAATTCGACAAAGCTAGGACCGGTACCGTAGTTATAGCCTTCCAACAAGCTCTCAAAGACTGATGTGGATGCTTCCCCCATATGAAATCGTCTTTTTTCAATTGCTCAGTGAGTGGCCATGCTATGGTGTTGTATCCTTTTACAAACCTTATGTAGTAACCTGTTAGTCCTAGGAATCCCCTTAGCTCCTTTAGATTTTTAGGCACTGGCCATTTCAACATTGCCTCAATTTTGGATCAATCTGTCGCCACCCCTCTTTTGATACAACATGGCTTAAGTACTCTACACTGACTTGTGCGAAGCAGCACTTCTTCAAATTGACTCTCAGCTGGTGCTCCTGCAGCACCTCTAACACCCTCTTCAAATGCTCCTGTTCCGTTCTGCTGTAGATTTGGATGTCATTGAAGAATACCAGTACAAATTGCCTGAGATAAGGAAAATAATAGCAATATTCTATCTTACAATAAAAAACATCTAAATAATATATGAAAATAGTGGAAAGTAAGAAAGTAGATACAATAAAATTATGCCTCAAAGTACAAAATCACAAAATATGAAAATATTAGTTTAACAAAACTCACAAAGTACAAAGAACAAATAAAATGCAATCATATTCCATCACTAAGTGGGTCTTCAAGGGAATCTTCTTCTCCAATTGTATCTATAAATGTCATTTCATCATCATCTTCAATATGACTCACTTTTTCTCTTCCCTGTTCAATAAGAGAAAAGATTATTATCATGTTAATTGCTCATTTGACATAAATAATTAAATATAATGCTATAGCATATAAGAAGTTGTGGAATACCTTTACTTGATTGTTGTGCTGCAGAGCTAGTGGATGTGTGTGGTGTGGTTTTAGTGGATGTGCCCACTTGATCTGCTTCTCCCCTCAAGACATCCACACTTAGATCTTTTAGCTGTAAGTCTGATAATGACAAATCTGTCTCATCATCTATGAACCACTTATTATCAGATGACACATCATCACACACCAACGGGTCCTCATCATTCTTCAACCCCTTATTCCTCAACCTCCTCTCTCTTAACCTCTTGTTGTGCATAATATATACGAGGGAGTTCATTTTGAGTGTTAATAGCCGATTTCTTCTTTGTTTGCACTTGACTATATGTACTCCAATTTCGCTCACACCCAGAAGAAGAGCAAGTGAGGCCCAACACTCTTATAGCAAAACTCTGTAACTCAGGGGTGGAATCACCAAATTGGATCCACCATTCAACTGTTTTCAAGAAAAAATATAATCAGAACTGAATAAAGTGTCTTCATTTACCAAAATAACTATATCTGGAGAACGTTTGAAAATGGTTGCTTTTGATGCATTCAAACAAAAAAAACCCTCTTTATTCTGGAATATAACAAGTTATAAATCTGCAAGCTCCCTATCTGCCTGCTCCGGTCTTAGCCTGTCCATACAATGATATAGACCAAGCTTCACCTTTGAATTTGAAGATTTCTTCTCTGAATATTGAAATTGAGGATTGAGATAATATGCCGCTGCATGTAGATGACGGTATAACTGCACCTCCCACCGAGCATCAATGATATCCCAAATCTCCTTATAACTTGCCTCCTCTCCTCCCAAGTTGTGTGCAATCATCTCCTTGGCCTCATCCATAGCATTATAAATAAAACTCATAGCCGGTTTCTTCTCCGCATCCACTAAGCGTAGTACTTGCACTAAGGGTCTCGTGCTCAAAATGGCATAGTTCACAGTAGCCCAAAATTTATCATTTAGAATTATCTTTCTTATTTCATTCCCATCACTTTTCTTCCCCCAAGCAGAGTTAAGCCATTCAGTTGATATAAATATTGCTTCCAAAGGTTGCCTCACCTCCATCAAGCTCTGTAGTGTCAAATAGGATGTGGCAAACCTATAGATTCACAGTGCAGTAGTGCACAAATGTAAGAACTAAGAACATACAGTAGGAATGATTTGCAATGTACAAAATTAAGAACATACCTAGTGGTTGCAGGGCGAATGATTTCTTTCTTTGAAAACTTTCTCATCAAGCTTAAGACCCAAGAGTGATTGTAGATGAACTTTGTAATCTTCTTTGCCCTAGAAAGAGCACTCTTGTGCTGAGGTAAGTCACCAAGATCCTCCAAAATGAGATCGATACAATGTGCTGCGCAGGGTGTCCAATATAGGTGTGTCCTCTTCTCCTTCAACATCTGACCAGCTGCTTTGTATGCACTGGCATTATCAGTCACTACCTGGACAATCAATTGCTCATCAATCTCCTCAATAATCCCATCAAGTAAATTGAAAATAAATGTAGCATTTTTCACCTCATCTGAAGCTTCAATCGATCGTAAAAACACCGTGCCGTAGGGATTGTTCACAAGGATGTTAATCAAGCTCCTGTTCTTTATGTCAGACCATCTATCTGACATAATTGTTACACCAGTCTCAATTCATGTCATTTTAATCTCATCAATGTTACGCTCTGTGTTCAGCAGCTCCTTTAAAATCCATGTTCGTAACTCATATATAGAAGGGGCCTTCAACCCTTTCCCATACAACCTTACAGACCGCAGCATATTGAAGTAGGCAGGCGATGTAACAACATTAAAAGGTATGACATTTTAAAAAAAAAACCTCCCAATATCCATGTAAACCTGACGTCGACCCTCTCTAGTACCGGCCGCAGGCATCGTTTGTGCTTGTCCTCTATCCTCTTCTGGATTAGTCATATATTGATCCATAGGATCCCGTACACCTCTGTTATGTATCGTGGAGGAAGAGCCATTTCTACTCTCACTCCCGTAGTAAGATCCAGCATCAACTCTATCCTCAAATTGCTTCTGTGCAAGATGTTTTGATGTGGTAGACTTATTCATGTATGACTTTATCTCATCCCTTACAGCATCAGGAACTTTGGAGCATGGAGCAACATTCTTGTGAGAACCTGAAAGGTGTTCCTTCATCATAGTCACACCACCTTTCACAACTTTATCACAGTAATTGCATTTCAGATAGACATATGTTTTATCACTGCCTCATACATCCACCTGAGTGCTATATTTCCATGCTGGATCTTTTCTATGACCAGATACAGCCTTATCCTTATTTCTGACCATCCTGATTGAGAAAAATAAGAAGCAAACGAGTTCTTACTAATCTTTTCTATGACCTGATGCAGGTCGGAAAAGACAGCAGCCTCAGACAGAAGCGGCCGCCGGTCGGACGGAGAAGACAGCAGCCCAACTCGCAGTAAAAGAAACCTCCAGGCGAAGAGAGCAGCTCTCGTTTAGGGTTTAGTATGCGAACTGGATGTGTTCACTGTTCAGTATTATATAATGTTGAGCCGTCGATTAAATTTGTGTGTTCAGTTTTAAGCTGTGCGTATTTTGTGCGTATATACTGCGTATGTTATGAGTACACACTGCATATTCTATGCGTATTTTGTGTATATAATGTCGATAAGCAAGACACTGCGTATTTTATGCGTATGTTATGAGTAAACACTACGTATGTAATGCTTATTTAAGCAGAATACTACGTATATTTTATAAAACTTCTTCCAATATGATTGTCAATATACATCTTAAAGTGCTGTAACTTAATTTACATCTTCAACAACATCAACTTTCCTACAGGAATTATGATTGTTGGATTGTCCAATATAAACCATCTTTACAACCAAGCCCTTCCATTCATTACTACGATATTTATCCTCCTTCCATGTCTATGGAGAGATGATAAATATCGCAGTAATGAATGGAAGGCTTGATTGTCAAAGATGATTTATATTAGACAATACATCAATCATAATTCATGTAGCAGCTATAACATATGTATATTCTATTAAAAAAATTAAACCAAAATAATTACAAGAGAAGCTTGCTTTGATGTTTACACATGATTGTCAAATAGAAGTAACGCAGCCATAGACAGAAGGAAAGTTTTTTTGCTTCAGAAATAAGTCTACGGCTTCTGGTAGTTTGTGATTCGTTTGAGGATAAGGATTACCTAGTATTTTTATTCTAACGATTTAGAAATTTACTTAGTTGATTTAGAAATCTACTTAGTTATCCTCATACTCAAAAGAATCACAAACTAACAGCAGTCGTAGACTAACTTTCTGAAATAAAAAAATCTTACCTTCGATCAAGGCTGTATTACTTCTGTTTGAAAATCATGAATTACCCTTTTCTTCAAGTGTTCTCACATTATATAGTAGTTGAGCAATAATAAGTAATAAAGGCTCATAAAAAATCAACCAACCCTCTTATCCTCCCAATCATATCTGCCACCCGTCACTCCACAGCTAACGACAATTATTATTCATGTCACGGCCCCTCAGTTCATACTAAATGTAGTCTGCATACTCTATTTAATATAATTTGATAAATAAAATTTATTGCGTAATTTGTGCGTGTTATATGCGTGATGTGTGCGTCTTTTGTGAGTACTATGTGCATTCCATATGCGTATTTTATGCGTTCGTTATGCGTATTATTCAAAAACATTTAAAAAATATTTTTTAAATTATTTCTTTATTTAAAACAAATAAGAAATTCAAATACTAATCTTTAAACGCAAATTCCAAACACAAAATCTTTCAAACATCATATTCCTAATTATTTATCTTCCTTAAATACAATCCACCAAGAGCCATATACCCTTTGCACTTGTTCAAATATCATATTCAAGAGTCAAGACTAGAAAATGAAATGATAAAAATCACATTGCGTAATGTAAGTAACTTAAAAAACTTATTCCTCATCATTTTAATGTAACTTAAAAACAAAGATATATATTAATTAAAATATTTAATATAATTTGATAAATAAAATTTACTGCGTAATTTGTGCGTGTTATATGAGTACTATGTACGTCTTTTGTGAGTATTGTGTGCATTCCATATGCGTATTTTATGCGTTCGTTATGCGTATTATTAAAAAACGTTTAAAAAATATTTTTTAAATTATTTTTTTATTTAAAACAAATAAGAAATTCAAACACTAGTCTTTAAACGCAAATTCCAAGCACAAAATCTTTCAAACATCATATTCCTTATTATTTATCTTCCTTAAATACAATTCACCAAGAGCCATATACCCTTTGCACTTGTTCAAATATCATATTCAGGAGTCAAGACTAGAAAATGAAATGATAAAAATCACATTGCGTAATGTAAGTAACTTAAAAAACATATTCCTTATCATTTTAATGTAAGTAACTTAAAAACAAAGATATATATTAATTAAAACATATTACTCCTCATTGTGCCTGCGTTATGCGTATTAGTTGCGTTCGTTATGCATATTTGTTGCGTGCGTTATGCATATTATTCAAAAACGTTTAAAAAACACAGAATTGAAAAATATATTCTTCAGAAATAAACATTTATACACAAACTGTTTAAACATTTATACACAGAAAGTCAGAAATATTTATACATAGAAACATTTATACACAGATTGAAAAATTATTATTTTTTCAAATTTTTACAAAATATTTCATATGTAAATTCTGCCCTATACTTTGGCATGTCTGTTTGCCAATTTGTACTATTAGTCCAATGAGTGTTGCCTTCAAGAAATATTCTTTCTATATATTTACAGACATACATCCCGCAATCTATAGAGTTCTCCTGTTGTGGTACACCTTTAATGATAGAAAGCTTCCATTTTTTGATATCACCTTTAAAAGCTTCTTTTGTGTCAGAGTATAGGGCTTTAAGATGAAAAATACGTAGATCAAGGATTAGTTATGTAATTTTTTAAAAATTGAAGAATTCATGTTCATCTAATACTTACGATTTTTGGAACAACAAGCCTATGCTCTTTGACACGGTCTGACATGGGCAAGGAGTCATAAAATTTTCATTTTTGCTCTTTCAGCAAACCAACCAGAAGGGTAATGTGATTGGATTCAATGATTGGCTGTAATAAAATATTATTTGAAGAAACAGAAAGCACGATTATATGGTTGATTTGCAATTTGGACAATTTTTCCCTGGCTTTGGTATTCTGCAAGTGCAAGTAGTAAATTTAAGTTACAAATCCAATAGTTAAACTGATTAATTGAATACTAAGTTACTAACCCAATAGATTAGAGAGATATATAGAAATTTATGGTACTTGTCAGGCATAAGTTCGCACTTCTCATGTAAAAAAAAAGGGCAAAAAGATCTACATGTTCATTGCCTAAATAACTGTCGCTTAATAAGTCGTCAATATCACATCTGGAAATCAGAATGTTATTAACAAACAAGATACTATCGTCCCTGCAAAAAAAAGTATCATAAGCATAAAATACGCATAACATACGCGTTTAATAAGCATAACATAAGCATAAGTAACGCATATCATACGCATAACTAACGCATACAATACGCATAAAAATATTTAAACATAAATAAAGTTGCAAATTTTTTACCTTCGATTAAACTTTTCAAACTTTCTTGCACAAAATTTCTCTTCTCAGGACTCAAACTCAGAATACCTTTGTAACTTTCTATTTCACTTGCATCATCTACTGCTATTGGTTCAGTATAATTTGTATATGGAATAAGTTGCATTTCTCCTGGGATTGACTGATTTTGTGGGATTGGGTTATTGGGGCTGTGGGGAGGGTTATCTGATTTATGTTTCTTATTGAAAAAAGAAGAGTAACTTACAGATCTTTTCTCAGGAAGTATTTTTCTCTGATCAATGTATTTATTGAGCTTCACCTCGATAACTTCAACTCTTTCAGTTAGGTCTTCAAACTTTCTGCTCAGCCTATCTTCAAATTCAAGAAAAAGTTTTGTACATGTTTCTTGGCAGGATTTGATTATTCTTTCTTAGAAAGATTTAAATGCTTCAGCAGAAAAACTAAATTGTGGTTGCTGAGGATCTTGTTGGGGTTTATGCTGAGGAGGTGGGTGGGGGTCTTGCTGAGGAGGTGGGGTATGATGGGGAGATTGGGGGGGGGGTTGTTTTGATGGGTGGATATTTCATGAGGGGAATCAGGGGATGGAGGGCTGTCTGATGGATATTTGTGGACATTAACCATATCCATTTCATCCTAGGTAACTGCTTGGAGGATATTATAAATATGACTTTTTCTTATATTAGAAAATAAGTTAGTAATCGTTTCTGTAGTATATACAATATCCGATGACCATCGTAGAAAACGGGGCCTTTTGTCAGCATACAATGGAGCATGAAAAGAAGTATGCTCCAGGAACCAAATCTGCATAAGATGAAATAAAATTATAGCACTCACATTGAGCCAATAAAATTTTGAATGAATTTAATAGTTAGCACTTAGTACTCACAATTAGTAGAGGTACAAAACCATTGATGTAACCTGCTGACTTCTTATTTGAAATCTTGGAGGATGTCTTATTAAACTCTACAACTAAAAATTCCCTAATTGAACTAGCCCAATTTATTGACAAAAATTCATTTGGATTATTTGCTATTCTTTGAAGCAACCTAGGGGTTTTGAAGTTGTTAAGTTGAAAAAGTAAATTTGAATATAAATACATGATAAAGTTTCTTAACATAGACTTGAGGGGGTTTCCTTGTTCATCTCCATCATGTCTGTCTTTATTTCCAATGATGTAACTGAAGTATGTGCTAAGGAAAGCCAGGAAATTTCTTTTTCTTTATTTGGCAGACCAGTAAGAAGGGCGACTTCATCAGCCGTGAAAGGAATGTGTTGACCTTTTATAACAAAGCATTGTTTTGAAATGTTCCACTTTGAGATAAGCTCATAAACCAGAGGGACATTTTGCTCAAACCCAAGAAATTTCAAAAACTGTATAATCTTTAAATATCTCAATGTGTCAAGAAGTCAGGAGTAATTTGCTTAGCAAAGTCATCACAGTTTGTTCGAAACGTAGACATGTAGCATCGATAGGTTATTGGACGAATATATATCTGAAAATTTTTAAAAATAAAAATAAAAAATAAGTAAATGAGATACACAA